TAACACACTCCTTTATTCTCTTCCCCGTGATCACAAGTTCTCTCTCCAAGCCCAGCCTAGTTATTTGTGCATGAAGCTGCCATGTTGTGTATTGGTGTGAGTCTGGTGTTCACATGAGCTGTGAATATGCTGCACATGTGTATTTCTTGTGCATCTTGAGCTTTCCTTTGATCAAGTTAACTGTCGTTCTGCCTTCTAATGACTCACCAAGAGAGAACTAGACCTGGTAAGATTTCTTGTTAGCAACAAACTATGTCACTATCAATGTGATGCTGAATGAGTTTGCACTGTGACTTCATGTCCAAGCCTCCAGACTAGAAAGGATTGGGACTCCGAAGTTCCTCTTCAATGACGTGATTGACTGTAACATTTGAGTTCGTACTTTGCACAGAAAGAGTAAGTTGTGCAATGGGGCACACAAACTCTGCTGCCTTGGTGTACAAGGCAGTTCCCACACCACCCCAACAGAGTTGCAGTAACTCCAGTCTCTTGATTGCCACTTTGCAGAACCTCCCTCCTCTGGCAAGGATACACCTTCAAAAAGCTGGATGAAAGCCAGGAGAAAGCAAGCAAGGCTACTCAGGCACTGGCTTATCTGTAGCCACCTAGTCTTAAAATGAGCGTAATCTCCTGAGGCATCGCTGAGTGTTTTTGGCTAAGTGGTTTTATGCCAGTAAGTTTCAGATTTGCATCAGGGAGAAATTTGTTCTGTTTTACCTGCTGCTTAGACTTTGCCTGCTCCTGGACCCTAGGAGGACAGGGATAATTTTCTGCCTACAGCAGCTGCCTCCTCTCAGCAAGGAAAGAAGAAGGAATGCTAAAACCTCTGTCCAGACCCCTGTCCGAACTTGCTGCCATCTAAAGGGCCAAGCCAACAAGAGCAGCAGCAGGTAGAATAAGAAAACACTTTTTTTTGTGTGTGTGTGTGGTCACAACCACAGCAGTACTGCTGTTCACACAACTTTTAAATTTGGACCTCAACTCTCTTTTAGGTGGTATTGGAGTTTAGCTTCTTAGAGAAAGTGGAAGGGAGGTGATAGGACTTCTGTAGGATTGGGAGAGATGTGTGACCTTATAGTTAGCCCCTCTGGGACTGTAGTGCTGACAGTATTAAATGCCATGATTTTTGATTTCTTGGAGGCCACACTCCCTCCTTCATCTCAGAGCAATTCCCTCTGATTCACTGAAGCCCCCAGCCTGTTGTCCAAGTCAGAAAACAAGCGTGATGTGAGATGCAGGGAGCACTCGGGCTTTTCCTTGACACAGCCCGTTCCTCTAATCTTTTTCACCCGGTTACTGCACAGGCAGCGAGCGTCAGCCTTTGCTGCAAACTGGAGGAAGCTACCCAAAATACCCACCAATGATTCACCACAGATAGACAGACAAACTGCAACTGGGGTGCAATCCTGAACTACTGCACATCACGACGCTGAGCTTTGTGTGCGAGCGGGGTTCACAGACACCAGCAAGCAGCTATGGCCCTGGTGTGCCCCCAGGGCTGCACAGCAGGAGCTGGGGCATGGACCCAGCCAGGAGCCGGCAGAGCTGAGCGCCAATCTGCTCCTCCTGGGTTGGAAACAGGAGCACACACAGCACACAGGTACACATCCTCATCTGGACATTTAATCCCAGAAACGTACATCCAGGACATTTAATCCCAGAAACGTACATCCAGGCGGTTCCCTTGGCTTTTATCAGGAGCAGACAGACAAGCAGCTGCTGTTTTCGCTGCCGGGTGACAGGAAATCCAAAGGGTCTGTTCTCTCTTGGTTTACACAGTGGTGAGTAGTTAACAGCAGGGGTGATCTGCACTGTTTCTTCCTCCTAAATGTTGCTCTTTCAGTGGCGTTCAGACTCAGACTGCAGTGGTTGCAGACTGAGCAGGGACAGAGAGGGGGCTTCTGTGCACTTCCTTGCTCCACAGCAGGTCAAGTGGCAGGGTGACAGTGTTATCTCCCCCTGTGACAGGAGGTCACATTCCCACAGTGCTGCTGGTGGCAGCCACCAGCTCGGCAGGCTTCGCACAGTATTTTAAGGGGTTAACGAACTGGGAAACACAGCATTTTCTGTGCTGTGCCTCGCCTACCCTCCAGCTAGGCAGCGGGTCCTCCACCAAGGCCCAGGTGAGCCTGCCGCCACGGCAGCGCTCAGACCGACGTTGCCTTCACACGTGTGAAGGCTGAGGGACGTCAGAGCTGGTTACAGGCCCAGGGGAAAATGCTTAGGGAGAAAGCAGATGCTGTGAGAAAAAAACAGGCCAGAAGAAAGACTATTTTAAAATACTGCACGCTTGAACAGTAGCAGTAAAGCCAAAATAAAAAGTTTTTAAAAAAATAATAAAAAAAAAAAGTCAGTGCGCAGACTGTGGGAAATACAAAGGGGTCATGAGAAATGCGAAAGGCCCGAATGCTGAGTCGCGGTAGCGAGCGACCACGGCCCAGCCCCCAGAAGCACGGCCAGAGCCACGCAGGGCAGCGGGGCTGCCAGGGGTGCCGGTGACGCCAGCAGCCAGGCAGGGGCAGTGCACGCCGTGCCCCTGTGGGGTTTCGCACCCCGGAGCAGACCGGGGACCTGCTACTGTTTCCCAGCAGAGCAAGCGGCACGTGGCTAATGCCCGACACCAGATTCACCAGAACTGCTCGCTGAGGCGCTTGCTGGGGTAAAACATCCCCGACAGGTCAAAAGAGAAAGATACTTTCTCCTCCAGTACAATGTCAGAGGAGAACTGCATCTTTCCAATGCAAGGAGATGTAATGGAGGGGTTTATAGCATAACATATCCCTAATCACCAAAAGTCCAGGCAACCTGAAGGGAGCGGCTCATGGCCTCGAGAGCCCCTGTAGAGTAACCTCACCACCATGGGAGAGAGGGCAGGCTTGACCAGCCTTGGCCCGTCCCTGGGGTGCCGGGGCAGTGCAAGCCCAGGGAGCGGTACCAGGACAAGGAACAGTGCAGTGAGCTCTCGGCGTAGCATCCTCTGTGGCCCAGGGCCCCTGTTCCTCCCGTGCTGTTGTAACTCCTGCCTCTGTGCCAATGGCTTCCAGAATGCAGAGGAAAACTCTCGCATCTCAATCACCTTCTTCCGACTCTTCCGCGTGATGCGTCTCGTGAAGCTTCTGAGCCGAGGGGAGGGCATCCGGACGCTGCTTTGGACCTTCATCAAGTCCTTCCAGGTATTCCTTCACTTATCTCTAAGTAAGACCTAACAGGGTATTTTTGCCCCTTGGTGGCCTCTCGGGGAGGGGTTTCACCCAAGTGCCTGGGCTCAAAGGCTGCTGGTCAGAGCTGTGCACACCAGTGACATGTGGCACGAATGAGACTCAAGTAAATGGGGCTCACAGGGGACGACTGCCTGCGTATGAGTTTCATCTTTAAAGCATGAGTAATTGCTTGAGACCTTCCTGAACAGCCTTGATAGTTCAGTTCAACTCAATTACTGCCTGTTTGTAACCCTTCAGTCTCCTCTTTTTTTTTTTTTTTTCTATTTTAGCTGTATTTTATATCTGTTGTTTTAAGCAAAATACACAGCTATGGGGAAGGCCTGGGTCTCAATTAAGTTTCCCTTTCGCCTTGTTTTGAGGATTTCCAGTGAGTATTAGAGGTGTGTGACTCCCACGCTTTCATCCAGGAAGAATTTCACCTTCTTGGCCCCACACCTTTGGCCCTTGTAAGAATGCCAAGTTATTAAATTGCTTCTGCTTTTGCCCTGGAGGCAGATTGCATTTCAGTGGTAGATAAAGTACCAGAGTAGATAGGGGAAGGTGAAGGAGACCAGACTGGATAAGAATCATCACTTCTGGGGTAAAACAAACACCAAGAGATAGCTATTTGCTAGAAAAACTGCTTTCAGACCAGCCTCTAACCTAGCCATGCATAGAAAATGGTAGTTAGAGATGAAGCATAGCATATTCCTGCATCTTACAAGTACTTAACCTGAATTTACTGGGCCGGCACAACCTGGATGTTAGCTGGGTCAGGTCTGGAGGAAGCGTCAGCGAAAGACAGCACAGGAATACAAATGATGGTCTAAACATGAGAAAAGATGCAGGACACCACTGGACAAAAGCATGAAAGAGTAACTTGTGCAACACACAAGCCTTTAAAAATCAACCATATATCCCTCAGATTGAGGCTTTAAATGGTCAACAGCATTTGTATTGACTCAAATGGGAAAGGAGCTGATCCATGCTTTAAAACTTAAACCTCACCAGCTACAACACAAGCTGGGACCAAAGCCTGCAGTGCTGTGGATCACCACAACTTCTGTCTCTGTCAGCAGAAGTAGCACACGTGTACACCAGGGATCAATCTGGACCTTTTCCAGTGCAGCGCTCAAGTGGTCTTGGTAGCCGGACCACCAGGCTCATGCAAAGGACTCTTATTTTGCACACTCCTTGACTGCTAGAGGATCTAATATTGCACGGCAATTTTCTGACACATCTGTACCACAAGCAACTTTTTCCATTGCTTACATGGTTGCTAACTTCCAGGTTGTTATTTGAGTGGCTCCAGTGGGAACCATTTTGTCTGCATCCATAGGAATGAGACTCCCTTGGCACAGCTCAGCCATCCCTGATGCAGGGGACAGAGTCACACTTTCCAGTTCCTGCTTCTCCTCCCCTTGCCCCTGTGCCCCTCCAGCCTCTTTAGCAATATCTCGCTCTTATCCTGAGCTCAGCTCTCCACAGCTCTTGGCTGGAGAGGATGAGATGGATGGGAAAGGGAGTGCCTGGTACTTCCCTCCAGTGACCTTCAGACCTCTTTTATTGGAGAGTCACTTTTAGGCAGGGTTGTAGGGTGATGGGAGAAAGTACCAAGGGAGGTATCTTCCAGAGCGGGGGTGGGGGGGAAATAGCACCGCAAGCAAGTGCTTTTTCCCTTGAAAGCCTTTAGCCATTTATAACATGGTATTCTCTGCTCAGAGCTCCTCCTCTTGCAACTACTGGGAGGCTCCTTTGGTAGCTAAGAATAGCCACTCTGCAGAGCTCTTAACTCAGCCGCTCCCACTGCCAAAATCTGGGATCCCTGCAGACTTTGTCTGGCACGGGCTCTTCTCCACGTCCCCACATGCTTCCAGGAAGCGTCTCTGCTCACACAGGGCAGCCTAGTAAGCCATGAACTTGTGCTGGAGTTCAGAGCCCATCGTAACTATCATGTGCCCTGCGCATGGCACGCAGGGCTTACGTACAAGTTGAGGCACCAGTCAGAGGAGCGCGTGGTGGGAAAATGCTCAGCGGGGTTTCCGCCTGCAGAGATAGCAACAGAGCCCAGGCTGGCGAGTGGGAGGAGTAGGAAGTGAGAGGGGTGCTGAGGGCAAGGCAAGGCCGTGGGAATCACAAGGACAAAGTGGTAAAGCCAGGGGAGGACGGAGACGGAGGAGGACAGAGCCAGACAAGTGGAATATGGGAGGTGGGGAGCCGAAGGAGCCATGGGGAATGCGGAGCAGAGATGAGTAGGAAGGTGCACCAGTGGAGAGGAGTGGGCTGAGCGGAAGAACATGGAAAGAAAGTAGAGGGCCAGACGGCCAGGATAGGACACTTTCCTAATCCCCATTTGAAAGACAGAAGAACTGGTAAGGTTATGCACCTCAGGTCCTGTCTGGACACTATCCCAGGAGCTCTTCTTAGGTCTTGTGTGTATCAAGTCCCAACTAGATCATCCAAAAATGTTTGGAGCCCAATTCTGAGCTGGTGTATCTCCACTGACATTCTGGGGTAGTCATACAGATTTGTCTGACCCCATAAAACACAGAGGAATCTGCCCATGAGCCTCAAGATGATGATGACAGACATTGTTTCAAGGTTTGATTTTTGCCATTTTAATATCCAGAGCTTTTTGAGATGATTTCTGCAGGTCTTAGTCAAATCTCCATAGTGGTCAGTGAAATTTTTTCCTTGATTCTTCCTGTAGGATTTAGCCCTGTTGAATTTAGGCATAAACATAAAATGTGCAAATAATCTTATATTAAAAAAAATAATGTTGTAGGTTTTTTATACTCTGTGAAATGGAGTGTTCAAAATCCAGATCAGGGACTGTACTCACATTATCCGAATGAATGTGTCCTCCCATTGCCTCTGAAGTAAGGTCTAGAAATCTCTGGTCTGAGGGCTCTACATTTCAAAAGCAACAGAGCAGAAAATTCCTCCTCAAAAGCCTGAGCCTGTGAGGTCCTGAGCTGTGCCCTTGATTCCTGCTAGTGGCGGAGGAAACCAATAGCACTCAACACTTTGCTGATTGCACCGGCCTCTTCCTTAGGAGGCAGCTCTGCATATCAGGGCCCTGCATTTCCCCTTCAGCAGCTGATCACAGACACTTAGTGCATTGCAGGCACCATCACAGACACCTGACACTGAACAGGGAACAAAGCTGATGCTGCTTTAGGTACTTAGGATGGTACCAGCCATTGTAGCAGAAGCCTTGAATTTGGATCTCGGCAACTGTTGCATTTTTGATGTCACCAGACTGGATGCAGAAAAAATCACATTGCCATTAGTCCCAGGATAACACTGGTTATGAGAGTTTTCTCCTCATGGTAAGCAGGTGTAGACACTGTTTTTGCCCTCGCTTTCTTCACTCCGTCAAGGGCAGGAGTGACTTGAAGGCAGCAGAGCTACACCATCACGAGTGGGAGCAGAATCAGAGCCTGCCTGAAATGGGTGGCAGCAGGGTGGTGGCGGGGAGAGCAAGCAAATATGGGCCTGTAGAGGCATCTAGTGGCCACCTGGCCAAACTACAGACTTCACGTTTGGGGCCAGCCTCTGCCGTTTCCCAAAGCCAGGAGCATGAACCAGGCTCCAGCGTCCCGGGCTCGGTGGAGACACAGTGCTCTCTTTTTTTTCTTTCTTTTCATTTCTAGGCTCTCCCCTATGTGGCTCTTTTAATAGTGATGTTGTTCTTCATCTACGCTGTGATTGGGATGCAGGTAAGTGATGCTAAAGAGGTCAGCTGTGTCTGTCTTCTCCTGTTAGGAGTTTTGGGAACTGGCTTACAAAGTAACTAGATCAATGTATGGTTGTAGGGGCTTACAAGAATATTTTTGCCCAGTAAGGTAAGACAGCAGCTAACCTTGGCTGGAAAACCTTGTCCGTCTATGCACTTCCAACAGGAGCACAATGCGCTCCAGAAAAAACACAAACAATGACCCATTTAATGGCAGAATGCAATATGCAAACAGTAAAAGGACCATGCCTGCCCTCCACACTCTCAGAGGAATACCCAGCAGCGGTGGCAAAGGAGATTTACTGCCTTGCTTGTTGGTTCAAAATAGTTGTTTCAGTGGGCTTATGGCCGTGCTGCACTGAGCAAACCCGATTTTTCTCTCGCATCACTTTCACACTGGTGTAACTTCCACTGAGTTGTAAAAAACAGCTTTTGATTTGCACCCATGAAGGTAAATATGGGATCAGACCCAGCGTACCGATGCTCTGTGTTTGTGCCAGTTCTTCAGGAACCTGCATTAATACAATATCCTATTCAGTTGGCAAATTGAACTTGGAACTGGCCTGAGCATTCATCTGTGCAAGGAACTGATGTTGCATACAGACCATGGAAGAACGCATGTGATATAGGCACAGTCTGTGACAGTCCCAGCCTCATTTGCTGTGCTGCTTTTCAAACTAAGCTTCACTTTCCACTTCGGTGTTAATCAAAGATCTCAGACAAGTCAGCCATCTGGGACCAGAGACCAAAGCATAGAAAGGCATGGTATAATTGCTTCCAGAGGTCTTCAAACATGGCAGGCTTCTTGGTTTCACAATGCCGACAGAATTTGTAACAAAATTCATCTGACCTCTGTGACCTCGTTTTAATTTGTTTCCTGTTATTATAATCATATCTTTTCACAGACTCCATCTACTCTCCCCCAGTTTGAAAAATAAAACTAGTCTTTTCTTGACTTATCATAGGTTATCTCAATTGCCCCCCCGTAATTATAGTTGTCATTTAGTCTACTAGGCTCATACTGTAAACTTGCCAGTTTTGCCTTTAATACCTAACTAGCTCAAATGGTCAAGATCTTACAGGATTAGCTGTGCTATGCAGAAAATCACTTGAGAGTATTACACTAGTGTTACGTAGCTACACAAAGCATTAAAAATGGCTTCCAAACACCCGGGCAAATGGGGTCTACAATGATCAGGGTGCTTCCAGGGCTAGATATTTTATTCTGTAATTCTATTCCCTTTTCTGTCAGCTAGTTCTAAGTTGGCTGTTTAATCTTTGGCTTACTTTCAAGCCTCTGTTTTAATCATCTCAGCAGCCTGAAGATCATACATCTGTCTTTCACATCGATCTAGATTACTAGATCGCTCCCTGCCCTCCTGTCTTCCAATGAGAAAACCAACTTTTCTCATCTTCCCTCTTTGCTTAGAGCCCAGAGACCTGTTACCATCACTTTTCATCCAAATGGCATCTCAGACGTTTTGTGCACTGCTCTCTTGAACCTGCTGACACAGAGAGTTCCCTCACACATAGGGACACATAGGAAGGAAAATCCTTCCTCACTCCATTAAGCAGCTACCTTGAAAGACTAGATGTACCAGATCTGATGAAAATATAAGAATATCCCACGTAAAGGAGACCTACCACTTTATCTCAGCTACTGCCCTGACTTGGAGCGTAACAACATTCAAGCCTCGCTACCTAATGTGCCCAAGTGGAAAAATCCAAATTGATGCTGATGGATGAAGCCACTGACATCATGGCCCAGGAGGCGCAGACTGGAGAGGCCATGAGAGAGGAACCTCTCTACCTGCAGCTCCTTGTAGGTGCCTACTGCAAAGCACCCGTAGTAGCTGCTGCCAGTGCATCGTGTGTGAGGGAAGCCTCAGGGTCGAAAGGAAAATCAGACTTCCAGCATGGGAAGTTCCCTTGCCTACGCTTGCCTGAAGTGAAAAATATGGGCTGCCCCAGCTCAAACTGCCTCTGGGCATTTAATCTGTCCTCCTGCTCCTCCTCAGTGCAGCTGGGGCTGTCACTGCTACCCACGGCGTGGGGGCGGTCGGGGCTGGGGAAGGCCCACACGTCCATGAGGAACCCCTGCAGAAAGCCTGCCACGTGCAGACCCTCCCTCCCGTCTGGCATGGCCTCCCCACCATTGTCCCTGCGCTTCTCTCCATGTCGTCGTTTCTTTTGGGGTGTTAATTATCGGTGACACATGCTTGAAAAGAAGCTCCATGTTGTCTCAGAGCTGCTCTGTTCCTGCTGCTCGTTTTGGCTACGAGATTACAGCTCTCAGTCCTTGAGATCTCTGTCACGTTGCTATCAATGGGGAATAAATAGTCCTGACTGACTGTGCTGTGCAGAGACCTTTCTGCCAGGCAAGCTTTGTTAAGCTCTCAGTCCCGGTGCCCAAAAGTACCAAAGCTATATATGACTTTTTCAAAGAAGCCTGAAACTCTCCTGCACTGGGGACTTCACATCTGAGGGCAGGCCCCTAAAAAGGTTTGCTGATGGTTGCAGGCTTCGTGCTGGGGCTGGATGAACTAGCTGGTGCAAGCGAGGGTCGGTTGGGCGTGGAAGGAAGCTGTAAGGCATCCTTGTCTGGCCAAATCTAGTCATCGTCCTCACACTGCTGCATTCTGGGTGGGGGGCCTGAAACACCTGCTGGTGACAAGCGTGGCTACTAGAAGGGCAAGCATTTGGACAATCTCCAGATCCAAGGCAACGTACTTTACATTGTTTTGGGAAGATCCAAGGCACCCCACAGAGTTGGGAGCTCAAGGCTTTGCAGCTGCTGGTCTTTTGCTATCATTTCCCCCTGGTGAAGACAGATAAGCAATGATGGAAGGAGCCTTTTCTTCTGTGTTATTGATTTCTTTCAGCTGGATCCCCTCCCCATATGAGTGCCTGTTAAAATAAGGCCCCATATCACATATTCACAATGTATGAAATTAGGAAGGATGTCTTGTTTTAAGAAAAGATGCCTCTTGTTACATATTTTGTATGCACTTATTTGTGCTTTTCTGGTGATAAAGCACAAGCAAGGGAAGCAACAGCAAATATGAAAAACCTGTGGAAATGATTTTTTAAGAGAAGAGCAGATTCTGTTAAATATCAGAGTCAGGGTGAGGCCAAGAGCTACAGGTGACAAGAGGTTTGGGGATTTTGCAGGGCTAACCTGAAAAGACCTCTGCTCTCTGCCAGGTGTTTGGTAAAATTGCGCTGAACGATACCACAGAAATCAACCGCAACAACAACTTCCAGACCTTCCCCCAGGCAGTGCTGCTGCTTTTCAGGTGGGTGTCTGACAGCTCTGGATTGTGTCAGTCTGGGAGCACGATTCCTCTGCTCTTGGGCACAGCTTATCTCCTTCTACTGTGTCATGCTCACGAGGTGAGTAGAAACATGTTGTCCCTTAGCGGGGGAGCCTAGGAGTTACATCAGATGAAACGACCAGTCCATTAAGCCTTGTACCCTGCCAGCTGACACTGGCCAACACTCAGTGCTGGGGAGGGAGGCGAGTCCTCCTACTCAGAAGGAAGGTAGCCAGTTTTCAGTGCTCTCAAATGTTGATATGCATGACAAACTCCTCCTTTTGTTCAAATCAAGCCAGTATGACTTCCAGCTTATTTTAGCAGGGAAAGGGACATGAACTCCCACTCGTACTTTAGCACGGCCATGCCCAGCTCAGCTTAGCACATCATCCTGCTCCAGCTGTGGCCAGGTGCGCCAGGGCCAGGGAGGGGTGCTGAAGGGGTGGGGAGGTGGCACAAATTAAACACTCTCTCCTCGTTCTCAAGGAGTTTTCTCATGCAATCCATAGCTATGTCACACGCATCCTGATGACTCTGGCTGGTTGGAACATGACAGCCCTGTACCCAGACTAGGCAAAGCCAGTGAGGAACAACACACTGATGATGGCAACAAAGCCAAAAAGAGGAGCAGTGTATGCCAGTGTATGTCAAAGCCCAGCCATCAGCCTAACTTGCTCATAACTGATCTCAGTGGCAAAATTCCCATTAATGTTCATGGGAGCAGGAACAGATTGCTAATGTGCCAGTCTCTCTCACATCAAAGATCACTGCTGTCTCCCCTTGCCCTTTGCCATGCCCAGGTGTGCCACCGGTGAGGCCTGGCAGGAAATCATGCTGGCATGTCTCCCAGACAAGAAGTGTGACCCGGAGTCGGAGCCGGCCAACTCCACTGAAGCCGATCACTCCTGTGGCAGCAGCTTTGCCGTCTTCTATTTCATCAGCTTCTACATGCTCTGTGCCTTCCTGGTGAGTCCGCCCCAGCAACCAAAACCTGCCCTCTGTCAGACTGAGCCCCTGCCTCCCCAGATATCAGCACTGCACAGCAGAAGAATGATCTCACAGAGGGGAAACCTCCCCATGGGGTCTTTCCCAGCAGCACCCTTTCAGTGACAACACCCCCTTTGGCCACTGCCATTCCTGCCTCCCTCCAGCTCTGGGGGATGCTCTGCTTCCAATCCCAATCCTTTGTGCACAGCAAAGGATCGTTCTTGCCCCCTCCCCCTCAATGAGAAAACCAAATTAGCGTGTTGTGGGCTGTGCTGAGGCTAGCAACGCCTCAGCCACACTTCCCACCTTCCCTCCTACCTTCCTTCTGGCTGCTGAGCAGGTTTTTCCTCCCCTGCCAGCAGCAATGACTGTGAGAATACACATATCCCACTTGCATCTGCTCCGTGTTGGCAATGCGGCATTGCTCAGAGCGACAGCACATGCTCTGCAGCTGGCATCAGTGCGCAAAACTCTCCCAGTGAACAGCAGCAACATTTTAAAAGTTTTGGTCTTGGGCCAGAAGAAGGGACTTTTACCTCAGCCCCACTGCCTGTAGAGGATAAATCCCAGGTTCTCCCACCACTACCCCGTTCTGCTGGGAAAGACACAGGTAAATAAAAGCCATCACAGCATGTCTAAGCATTCGGCAAACTTGGGCCTCATCCATTCAGTAGCGAAAAGAAAAATGTGACCAGCTGAGAATATCCCGCCTCTGGGATCTTCCCACTTAAACTGCAGGGCTGGCATGGGGGAACAGAGGACCCACCCCCAATGGCTTCCTAGTTTTATGAGTCCAAATCCAGACCTTAAATGGAGAACCCTGGTAAAGTCTACTGTTACCTGCCTCATCCATCAAGTCATCTCTGTCCTTGTTTGCAGATCATCAATCTTTTTGTAGCTGTTATAATGGATAACTTTGATTACCTGACACGGGACTGGTCCATTTTAGGACCACACCACCTGGATGAGTTTAAAAGGATCTGGGCAGAGTATGACCCTGAAGCCAAGTAAGTAACCCAGCCTGGATATCAGAGCTCCTCGGGAGAACAGGCCCGTTATTTTCTGTTCTCTAGACCCAGTGCAGTAAGTGCCATGTTCCTCCTGCAGGAACACTTTTTTTCTGCAAAAATCCTAAAATAGATACCTCCCCAAGGTATTGCTGGTGAATCCATAAGCCAGCAGTGCAAGAATACACACAAAAATCCCAGTATTTAGGCTGTTACCTGGCAGGCATTGCTTCACTTTCAGTCGGGAGGAGATATAGACTGTTTAGGGAGGGGCAGCAGAAGACTGAGCAAAGGAGGGTAGAGGGTTGGTTTATTGTTGCACGTGTTTGGGATATTGAGCTGTGACTCTTCCATTTGACTTTCTACTCACAGTGGAGCTGCTGCACTCAAATCTCCGTTTTGTCCTATGTCATATAGGCCCATCACAACCTGTACCTTCACATGGCTGCGTTACATTGTCTGCAGGGTTATTCACATCAGCAGGCTTGCAGGGATTTAAAGTTACACAAGAACAACTCACACAAGGGCTTAACTGACATTCAGTATTATATGCTCTGTTTGACACATGCTTAGGCTTAAAGTGCGGTTAGATCCCTATGGCATTACAGGACAGTTGACAATTGTAATTGCAAAGCCCCCTTCATAATGCAAAAACTGTGGAAAGAGACCTTGGTGTAAACTAAAAGCAGATCTCTTTAGGAGACATAGTGTCAAGATTAATTTGGGCTGGGGTTCTGCAATATGTGAGGCCATGTCACGTTATCAGAATGATACATAAATTGAAAGCCTTCTTCCCATCTGTGGTGACTGCCCAGAGAGACTTTTAATATGGATAGGGGATAAGCACAGAATTCTAATAAATACACTGTTTGTTAACAAAACAGATGCGACTATTGGTGCTTGTGTGAAGGCAAGACTGCAGTGGCTGAAGCCATATAATAGATAGCCGCACAGCCGAGATGACGTCCTGTTCTTTCCCGTCTATAAATGGGAAGCTCTTTTTTTTCCCTCTTCCCCATCCATGTCCCATGCTTGAAGCCCCACTTCTGGCTCTGGTAGCTCTCCTCCATCCATGAGAGAATTCTTCTTTTGAGATGCCATTTACAGAACTTAAAAGAAACCCAGCTGCTGCTGTGGAAGAAATTCAGCGCTTTGTTTTGCACTGGCTCCAGTGACAGCCCAAAGCACAAACACGTATCAAAAGACAGTGGCTTGGGGCTATTTATATGGAAGGTAAAGCACCAGGAAAAAAGAAGCCCTTTGCACCTCTGTGCCTGCTATAGACCTGAGACCGGCAGGTAAAGAAGCAGCTGTAGATTTTGAGCAGGTCGGGGTTGGGGGGGACAACCCCAAATGGTCCATTCGTGCACAGAACTGCAGCATCCAAAACACTGAAGTCAATTCTTGCGAGTACTGACTCGTGTGCGACTGACAGCTGGGTTTTCTGCACTAGCAGGAGTTACATGAGTGCTGGGCAAATCCTGAGGGATGCACCGAATGCAGGAGGCCTGAAATGCTACCTTCAGCTATGCCCAGGCTACGGGGAGCGGCAGCGCAGGGCTGGCGAGATCTCGGGGATGCTTCTGGGTGCACCCGCGCTCTGCGGGCGGATCAGCAGCTCGCCCCGTGTACGGGTGCGACCCTCACGCTGTTCTCTTCTTTAGGGGACGGATCAAACACTTGGACGTGGTGACGCTGCTCCGGCGGATTCAGCCCCCGCTGGGCTTCGGGAAGCTCTGCCCTCACCGGGTGGCTTGCAAAGTAAGTCGCAAGCAGCCGAGTACCCCGCGATGGCAGTTTCCAGCGGAGCCCGCGGCGCAGCCCGGCCGCCT